TTTTATTAAATTTGATTAAGATTTAGTTGAATTATTGTTGTTTAAAGTTTAAAAAAAATTTACTTAGAAAAAATTTGTTTGATTTTTATTAACTCAACCCCATATATTATTTTTAATTTAAATAAATCAAAAAAAAACAAAAACCGATATTTTGGATAACCAGAATATATTGTTTTAGCTATCAGGAGATTTTATTAAAAAAATTTTTAGTATCTGAATTGCTTTTAACAATAATACCTGAATTTATGGTTCTGTCCTACTTACTGAGTTATTTATAAACAGCTTATTCACGCAACTAATTAATTGCTAACTAATCCTATAAGATGAAATGATTATCGGTAAAGTAAGCATTACAACAGATAAGGTTGGCAAGCATCAGATTATAGTTATAAAATAATTTAATTTAAATATAAATAAAATACAGAAAATTATAATATTAATACCAAATCAAATAAATATATTTAGTATTTATATAAATAAAAAAACTATCAACTGATATAAAACTAATATGAATATGATAATATATACTGATATATAAATAAAAATGCTACTTTAAATATCAGTATTTATAAATTGTACTTTCTATATAAAGGAATTATGGCCATATAGGTTTTTGGATCATTTTCAATATCAGTATATATATTTGCTACAAACCGGGAATAGATTTGATGTATGGGAATTATGCAGTTTCTGCTTAATTCATAAAATTCTTGATCTCACAATTCTACATTACAACTAGAATCATTCCCTTTAATTTTTACCTGAACCTGATTTCATAATTTTTAACAGGTTTATACCACCTTACAAATGCAAGGTGATATGTTAGTTCACTAGAAGGAAGATAGATAGTGTAGTCGAAATAGAATTAAACTTAACCAGAATATAAATCTACTGATTCATCTTCTTGAGCAACAAATCTTGCTAGAATTCTTGAGGATTTGATATAGTGAGCCGAGAATATAGATCCAAAAATTTCTGATCCCAATTTTAATCGCCCATATTGAATTATTTTGGGAAATACAAATATTTGATCAATTCCTGATATATCTCCTGGAGTAGTAAATTGATAATCTGTTACTCTATTGTTATAAAATTCGACTAAAATATCTAAAATATTATTTTGTAAAATAATATTTTCTGATTTTGAACCAAGAAATATATCAGGAAATGGTTCATAGCTAAAAGATTCTCCTTGATCAATAATATTTCTTAATTTATAAAATTGAAGAAGATTTTGTGTTTTAAATTCATCTGAAA